ATAAAGCTGATAGTCTCCTCCAGTGACATACGCTGGTTCTGATTTCCCAGCAGCTCCAGCTGGATGTCGCTGTCGTTGATGCCGCGCGCAATGATGTCGCGGATAACCTCGTCTTGGTATGATATGTCCTTACCGCAGGCGCTGTTGGGACACTGGATCGTAAAGTGGCACACCGCAGCCTGGCCTCGCAGACGGGCGGCGAAGGTTCGAATGGATTCGTCGGTGTCTTGGGTCATGTTTTGCAGCGCGACACGTGCAACCATAGTGTTCTCCTCGCGAACCGCCAAGCGGCGCATGGCTGCCAAGACATCTTTCTCGGGTTTCGTCGCTAGGCTGCCCCCAGACGCCCTGGTCAGGTCGCGGCGTAGGGCTTCATCGCAGCATTCCAGTAGTTGTAGAACGCAGTCGGAACCGGTGAGATGGACACCTTCCTTGTAGTCAGTCCATCTGCTGAGGAAGTAAGTCCACTCTTCGCTGGAGCCCGCGGCAGACACCTGTGGCCGGCGGACTTTGTCGGCCGTGAAGGAGACGGAGGGCCGCGCGTGTGAGGCGGCCTCGTGCATTCTCAGCAGCTGAACCACGACATTGGCGTCAGTGTCTTCGGCGATGCTGTATGAGCAGTCCTCGAAGGGGCATCTGGTGGCCGACATCCTGAAGTTCGTCAGTGTTGATGCTCTCTTTAACCCTATTCCTGGCGGGCTCCGCCGGGACAAGAAACTGGCGGGGGGGGGCCGATTCGGCCCCCCCCCTGAGATCTCGAGAACGAAGCAAGATAGCGACAAGCGGTAAACGGCATCGGATACGCACGGCCAAGATCTACAATTTTTACTAAGGTCATTTTCAGGTCAGGTCAAAGATGACGTCACAGGGGTCGAAAAAGTCAAAATGGCGGCACTAGATATGGAGAGAGTTTTTCTCGAATAACTTTCGAATTAGTCAAGATAGGAACAAACTAAGGGCATCATCGTGATCCTCTCGTCAATCCGCATCGAATGATATATATGTTGACCTCGAAAGGTCAAGGTCAAAGGTTGACCTCAGGTCACGTGACCTCGAGGTCATCATGTATATCATTCGATGCGTCTTGACGAGCTGAACACAATGAGACCATCCACGCGTCTGTATCTTGTTCCTGTACGGAGTTATTGGCCAAAAACCTTTGGTGACCTTTGATGACGTCACATGACCTCACAGCTGCCCAACAGCAAAACAGACCTCAAGGTAGTGAAGGTTGATCGTATATGAAGTCATGTATGGTATATGGGGCCATTCCGACGCGTTTTAGTGGTAAAAACAGGGAGTTGATTTTTCCCCCATTGACTTATAATGGGGAGGTCGCGAAATTGACCTGACCTTAGGTCACCGATATCAAAATTCCGAGATATACAAATTGCACATACTGGTACCCTAACTAAACCCTGAAGAGAAGAAATTGATCGGTCAAAAACTCTAGCTCTGGCGTGATTGCAAACTTTTCTGAGGTAGCGTCACCAAACCGCCTCTGGTGACCTGACCTGAGGTCAGATCAACTCAAAATTTTCAGACATGTTGCGTAGAAGCCTTTTAGGAAAAGTCAGAAAATTTGAGCTTCCTAGCTCAACGCGTTTGGGAGATATAACCAAAAAACCTCAGGGGGGGGGGGGCTCCTGAGGCCCCCCCCCCCCGCCAGGAATAGGGTTAAGAGTTACTCTTGTAACGTGTAATGATATGTGTGCCCAGCATAGATAGGCAAGTTGCACATTTCAATCATGTATTAATGTATTGAATGCTGGGCACACATCTGAAACAGAGACACACAGGTATATCAGCGTTATGCCCGTCTAGTAGCATTGTGGGGATTTGAGGTCAGTGCAGATTTTGACTGGCCATTTTGGGGTTTGGTGCATTTTTTGTGTTCTCTCAGCCCCCTTTGGTGTGAATTTTCGGGCTCTGTTTGAAGGGTTTGTGTCAATTTTGAACTTGGGAGTTGGGCCTGTGCTCCTTGGCGACCTGCGAGCCATACTCTGCAGTACTGGCCTGGGCCCATGAGCAAAGTAATTAAATATAGTCTGTTCAAGATTCAATATAATAAGTCTGCAAAACACATCCCAGCAATTGTAATTGGATCAGAATGAATTGTAGTGACCTGCATTTGTATTTTTGTTGTGTCTGTGAAGAATAATAAATATACCTACCTATTGGAAAAATCGTGGCCTTTCAGCACATTTGGCACTTTGGCAGAGTTGTGTGACTCTGATTTAGTGGCTCATGTGGAACGCAACGAGCTGCGGAACAAGCTTGAATAGCATTTTGCCTCAGCGCTATCTGCCAGAAACATTTCATCTGCAAAAATTTGCCTACAGGCAAGTCTGACAAATTTGTGGATTAACTGGGGACCTTGTAAGCATGCATATTAAATTCTAGCCCACCAGCTCAGCCCTATTCTCAGTTTCAGCATTCAGCATGATAACAGTTCTGATCAAGTTCTGATTGTCACCACTGAGACACCAATGGAGTCCTATGAAATTTTGCCTTTTTATTAGATTATTTGTAAGAGTTTCAGCTACATTTAGACCAAACGTTTCACTCTCAAAGATCTGCGACCTACCCCACTCGTCCAGTAGGATGCCTGGCGCGCAAACAGTCCAGCAGTGAGCTGCCAGCCGGCACGCAGGGCAGTAGCAGGCGGCGGCAGCAACGGCAACTAGTGAACATGTCTTGGACTGCATCCACGACATGATCTAGGCTAGCATCTATTCAATTTGTCCATGTACAAGTCCCACAGCTCCTGCGCGAGGTCGCGCAAGCCAGGGAACTGACCACCTCCAGCCCAGGCGTGGTTCACTGACTCGAGACATTTCAACTGACCAGTCAGAGTTCATGTTTTGCAACTTTTATCCAAGTTATTTGTAATTGTAATATTCTAAACTGAATTTTAGGCATGACTTCATTTTTCAAGAGCTACACAGAACACACCTTCCCTGTACAGCACGTCTCTATTGTCCTAACATTAGTCACATAGTTGCAAGAAGCGACTTGAATGCGGAACCTGCCTGTTTTGAAGCCCTGTTGTCTTGTTGGGTGACACTGCACAGAGGTAAGGATGGGGTGTGATTTTGCTGCTGTTTGTCAGGTGCAATATGTGTGTCAATGATCACAAAGTACTCTAAAGGTTTAAAAAATGCACAGCATGGCCTAACAAAGCACATTACCTAGGTTTTGACAAGCAGCGCAGCGACTGTGGTACAAAGGCCCAGTCCCATGCTCATGTTAGTAGCTGGATCTGCTCCCAGGAAACAAAGGTAAAACACTATTGACAGCTTTAACCCGCGCCCCGTAGGGCTACCGGCGGACCCTACCACCCGTAGGGGGGGGGGCGTTTCGGCCCCCCCCTAAGATCTCGGAAAGTTACCGGCCGATTTTCAAAATTCCAACGGCGTTCGATAGCCCCACCCGGGAACTACCTTGTGACCAAATTTCATTGACCTAGGTCAAACCGATGACGTCACAGGTCAGGTCAAAGGTCAGATTTTCACCGTTCACAGGCATTTCAAGAAATGTGTTGTGAAATCGAGTTAATTGGTAATTTATTGAAAACCATCGATGGTACATTGTTCGTCAAACACATACTTTGCTATCTGAGGTCACTGATACCAGGTCAGGTCACAGCGAGGTCAGGTCACCGGGGTCACAATATGAAAGTGTCGTGTGATACATGTTTTATGGTCCATTTTACATGACAAATGCGATTATGTGGGTTAGGCAGCCTTTGGGGCCAGCCTAGGTCACGTTTTGGTGAAGGTCAGGTCAAGGTCAGGTCAAATAAGGTCAAATTTCAAAGTTGATATTTTTGCATAAAATGGGTATCTATTCGATGCAGCTCGTCACGGGGAGTCTAATGGTGGTCTTTGTTTTGCTCTACGAGGTCTAGAACTGCCAAAAATTGAGTTTGAAAATTTGACGTCATCAATTTTGAACAGTTTTTTCGCTATAACTTGGCCAAAAAACGAGGTATCGATCTGAAATTCGGTATGTAGATAGAAGACGGTAGGTACTATCACATATATTCCGGTTTTTTTGAAACTCAAAAAACTTTTTGGATTTTTTGGCTAATATATCCAAAAAAATGTTTTTTTGATTTTTGGGGTTCAAAACTCAAAAATTTCAAAAATCCGAGATAGCAGTTTTGTAGCCCTGTCAATTCTACACCTTTTATGTTTTGATCATTTTTCTGTATCTTCAAAGCTGTAGGCCTGACAGGTCTTCTCGCGAAGGTCTTTACTCGGTCGAAAATGACAGAACATGACGTCATTCTGACGTCATTTGTGGCCAACCTATCATAGCCTCTGGAAAAATTTTTGGTCACAATGTGTAAAATTGATGCCCGGAGGGGTCCTGAAAGTTTGGTGGCGATATCTGAAGCGGTTTAGGAGATATCGACCGAAAAGGACAGGGGGGGGGCCGTTTCGGCCCCCCCCCTACGGGGCGCGGGTTAAGATGAAATCTGCAGGAAAACTAAAGGTCGCCGTCCACTGCACATTGGCATCCGCCGAAAGTAAGCGCGTAATCGTCGATAAGCGCGTATTTTCGGCGTTTCCTAAAATGACGCCGTCCACTGCACAAAAAGCATCGGCAGAGGTGCTGAAAGTACGCGCTTATGTTAGTATCAAGTGTTTTGTTAATATAGGGTGCGCAAGCCACCTGAAGTCATAGAATGATAGTAATTCTGTAGGAAATAAAAAATAAAAATATAAAAAAATGATTTAGCAGGTAAACCATGATGCAATAGATAAAAAAATAAAATCATTCGAAAATAAGCACGCGATATTTTTCTTAATACTCTTGGGTTAAATACGAAGCAAATACCGCCGTCAGGAAAACCAATGTAAACAAAACATCTCAGGTAGTACCTTTTCTTGTTATTGCTTCTATACTTTATATATCTTCTTGTTATTGCTTCTATACTTTATATATCGAGAATGGACGTCGGCCTAAGTTTGGCCCAAGCCGAGCTATTGATGATGGAGTATGATGAGGAGTGCCGTCCGAAACGTCGGCACAAGAGCTGGGTCGCTGACGTGAACCGCCGCCGCCGAGCTCGGGGGGAATTTTTCAACCTCGTACAAGAGTTGCGTACCAACGACCCTGAGCGGCACCGCACCTACTTCCGGATGACCCGCGACACTTTCGATCTCCTTCTTAGCAAGATCGGGCCAACTATCGCCAGAAAACACACCAACTTCAGAGAGCTCATCGACCCCGCGCAGCGCCTGGCCGTTACCCTTCGGTATCTGGCGTCAGGGATGGAGTTTTCGGCTCTAGCTCCCACGTACCGCCTGGGAGAGAAGACGGTCCGCGCCATAGTCTACGACACGTGTGCCGCGATCATCACCGCCGTCGGTCCGGAGGTGTTGGCCTCCCCTACTCGCCATACCTGGGAGAGGAGCGAGGCCACCTTCCGAGACCGGTGGAACTTCCCAAACTGTGTGGCAGCACTCGACGGAAAACATGTCGTCCTGCAGGCGCCAGCCAACACCGGCAGCGAATATTTCAATTACAAACACACGTTCAGCACGGTTCTCCTGGCCGCTGTGGACGGCGACTACCGATTCGTATACGTGTCGGTGGGAAGTGCCGGCAGGGAATCGGACGGCGGCGTATTCCGCCGCAGCGACCTGGCCGCCGCCCTCCGAGACGACTCTCTGCAGCTGCCGCCGCCCAAAGCCCTGCCCGGGACCAACACCATCATGCCGCACGTCATCGTCGCCGACGAGGCGTTCCCGCTCACCACCGCCATCATGCGGCCGTATCCCGGGCGTACAGAGGCAAGACTTGGAGTCCGAGCCACGGTATTCAACTACCGCCTCTCGCGCGCTCGTCGCATCGTGGAAAATGCTTTCGGCATTCTCGCACAAACCTGGCGGATATATCGTCGGCCAATGAACGTGAACGTCCAGCACGCCTGCAAGATCGTGCACGCCACGTGCATTTTGCACAACTTCCTCCACGCGGACGAAGTCGTCGCACTGCAGGGAAGGCCTGAACTCGACCAGCAAGATCGAGCCACCGCCCCGGCCGGGCTGGCTGACGCGCTCCACCGTCTCGGGGCCAACAACTACACGCGAGCTGCCGAGCACGTGCGCGATCAGTTCGCGCGCTACTTCGCCGGTGAGGGCGCTGTACCATGGCAGATGGAGCACGCTGTCTGAGCTGCAGTCAGCTGCGCTGCAAGTGCAGCTGTTCGCCACCTACGTCTGCTGGCGCTACAGGAGGACGTGGTTGCCGTCTAGGGCATGGGGAAGTTCTGCCGTCTGCGAGTCCTACGACGACGATTGTCTGCAGCCGCCGTGCTCTCCTGCCGGCGCCTTGCACGGCGCTCTTCGCTGTTCGGCGGCTACGACTGGAACTGCTTGTTACGTGCCCTTGTTACGTTTTTATCTATATTGTTACATGTTATCTGTGACTATGCAAGAGCAGCATTCCTTTTCTTGCGATCAAAAATATAATACGATGAGGTTCCAATGCAAGACGTTTATTTTAATCGCCCACATTTATTACGTTACAAAGATCAAACCGAATAAAACAAATGTAAAGTATGCAAAAGACATGACGAAATATGCAAAAAATAATCAGATACAACCACTCGTGATCAGATAAAACCACAATGCGTGTAATGAATTTGAACGGTAATGAATATGAATCAACACGAGTACAAAATTGATGTACAAATAAATAATTACGACGATTCTATAACCTAAGATAATGATGAAAAGCCGTAGCCTTATAATAAAGTTCAATGTATTGCCGAATATAATTAAACCAGAATGAGACGACAGTTTCGGGCGTAGCCCATTATTATCAAGTCTGACAAGTCCGGATTTGAAATTTCAAATCCGGAATTGTCAGACGATAATGGGCTACGCCCGAAACTGTCGTCTCATTCTGGTTTAATTATATTCGGCAATACATTGAGCTTTATTATAAGGCTACGGATTCTTATCATAATCTTATTAACAATAAGCCTGAGAAAAGCGCTTGCTAACATTATCAAACATAAGCCTAGCGATTCTATAACACATTAAAACAGCATTGATTTAAAGCAAAACAAATGCCGGGCCCTGTAGCTGTTGCAGGACTGGATATCACTTATTCCTCATATGCCGCAGCGTGGATCAGCTGCATGATTTGGATTTTAAGAAGGGACTTCTTCCTAGTTGCCACTTGCCTGATATCCTGACCCACCAAATGTCCAAAGATGGCATCATCGTCCTCTAGCCTCTCGACGGCTTGCTGCACCTGCTCAATCGCCCGCTGCAGGATCTCCCTGGTCCCTTCGTCGGCAGCCACCCGACGGGCACGCCGGCGAGGCCTCTGGGGCTGGACTTCGCCCTGCTCTGGTCGGTCAGCGGTCGGCGCCCGAGGAGCAGATGCCTCCTGCGCGCGATCAGCAGGCGGCGTGCGGGGTGCGGAGGCCTGCTGCGGGCGACCAGCGGTCGGCGCCCGAGGAGCAGATGCCTCCTGCGCGCGATCAGCAGGCGGCGTGCGGGGTGCGGAGGCCTGCTGCGGGCGACCAGCGGTCGGCGCCCGAGGAGCAGAGGCCTCCTGCGCACGATCAGCAGGCGGCGTGCGGGGTGCGGAGGCCTGCTGCGGGCGATCAGCAGATGGCTCCCGAGGTGTAGAGGCCCTCTGCGGGCCAGCAGGCGGCGCGCGGGGTGCGGAGTCCTGCTCCCACTCGTCGTCCACTGTCGAGAAAGAAGAAAAATTATCCATTTGCAGAGTCTGGAATCGACGACCGCTTTTCTCTAGTTCTTGTGTATAAGGTACATGATAATTTCGACCCTTGTGGGAAGGGGCATTTAATGCATTACCTTCGAATTCTGTTTTTCATCTTTAGTAAAAACAAGCATCAAGTTAGATAGAGCCATTAGTACATCAATCACACCTGCTATTTTCTTTCCGAAACAAGCTTTGGTATTTGTTGATGCTTTAATGGTCTACGGCCAACACACATCAAGTACGTTTGGATAGCCTACATACATAAAACCTTCGCTGTGATCTCAAGAACTCTAAATGCATAATACACATAATTAATATCTCCATCATACTGCATAACATACGTAGACATTATAGCCTTAGTAAGAAACTGTTAACTGACCTTCCGAGAATACGAGCCATGGATCACCAGAGTGTTCCTCTTCTATGTCAGGGTTCCCCTGAAAAAGAGATTAGCATGGCTTTGACCGTGGCGCTGAGTATACAGAACGGTAATCTGTGTACCCTCGTACTTTCAGTCCTGTTCCGCCTAAACGACATAACTAGTTACAAGTAAGTTAGACATAAACGCCCTTCTCTTCTCCACCTCGCCCAGCTGGCCGTCGTCGAACTTCACCCGGACCGTGTCACCTCGGCCGGCATCGATCACAGATGCTTTTTAGCGGACGCATATCAGGGGCGCCGCCTGGCCGTTGACGCCGTTGTGGCCGTTCTCCTGCTTGGACCGCTTCGCCTCGTCGTCGGCTGACGCATCCGAGGGACGCCGGGCCCGCTGTCGCCGCCGCAGCCGACACCCGGCGGCGGCCGTCCGTCGTGGACCATCGGCAGTGCGCCGGCCGTCCGGCTCTGTCGCTCCCGTCGGTAGACGGCGTTGTCTTGTTCCACGGCAGCTCGCAGCGGGCCAGGCAGGGCAGCCAGCGCCGACAAGCCGCCCGCCGCCCCCGCCACCGCTGCATCGGTCAGCCGGTACAGCAGCGTGTAGGCTGCCTCGGTGGAGCGGCGCGGCCGGCCCAGCGCGGTGGCCGCCGGCACCGGCACCGCTGACGTATCGTCCAGCCGCCACCAGCCGGTATCGTCCATCCCATCAATACCACCGCCACCGGAGGCGCGACAGAATGAGAAATAGTGGCCAGCGTCTAGCGAATGGCCCGCGTGGACTATCACTGCATACAGCCGGTACTGGGCGGGCGGGCCGGTGGCTAGCGGCACTGTCAGCCACTCGGTGAGCTCCACAGGGGTGAGAACCTTGCGGCGTGCACCGGTGCGCCGGTCAACCGCGAACCTCATCAAGGAGACGACCAGGTTGGCTGGCGGAGAGAGCAGTCGCAGCTGGCGCTCGGCGTCCCGCAGGCCGGTGCACTTGGTACAGTAATACTGGTTATCACCGCACAGTCGTTCCGGCGTCAGGTAGTCGAGCAGCAGCTGCGATACGGTTAGCTCGATCTCTGTCTGGTTGTCCGTCGGTGGCGTGTCCCGCCAGCCGACCGGCCGCGGCGCGGGGCCGAACGCCGGCGCAGTTTCGGCTCCCCCGGCGCCCGCGGCAGCTGCCGTCAGTGACCGTGTCACCGACTCCGGCAGAGCCAGGTGCAGGTCCGTCACGCTGTTCTCGTGGCGCGAAGCGCCGCCGCACGTGAGACAGGTGAACGTAGTCTCAGCCCGTCCGGTCAGTAGCCGACGGACCAGGCCGGCGGGCGGCTCCTCAGCTCCGGCATCGCCAGTACCGTGCTCACGCACCACCTCGCCCTGCGCCTGGCCGTCCGGATCAGTCTGCTGCTTCCCGCCGGTGTCCGGTGACTCTGTGGGCTCCCCCTCCGCGGCAGTCCGCTCCGCCCTGTCTCCGGCCGGCTCTGCCATCACCACATCGTCGCTGGCCAGGTCAGAGAGCTGCACCGGCGGCGATCTCCCGCCGGCCCGCGCAGTGTCGCAGGAACGGTGCCGGCGCCGGGACCGCGGCCGCTCCATCGCCGCTGCTCCCGGCACGCTGGAGTCGTCTCTGGTGCGTGCGGCGGCAGCAGCTGGAGGGACTGGCGGCGGGACCGCGACCGGTGCGGCAGGGGAAGCTGCCGGAGACCGCTCCTCCTCATGCAAGGCGTCCAGAAAGCATCGGAGGAACTCTGAGCAGTCGTGCTGCCGGCCCCGCTCAAAACAGGGCGGCAGAGCGGTCCGCTGGAACTCGCCCGGGCTGTAGACGGGCCGCTCCGAGAACGCCAGGAAAGCGAACACTCGCTGTAGTGCCGCCAGGTGCGGGCGGGAGGGGGACGGCCGCGCTGCCAGCACCTCGCCGCGCAGCTGATCTGAATGGAACAGCGCCTGTAGCACGGTGTTCATGAAGCACGTGTTCCCAAGGTTGACCAGGCCGCGCCGGTAGCACGAGTTGCCCAGGTTGATCTCAGTCGGAGAATCTGCCTTGGGCGGCGTGGCTCTTGTGCTCCTCTTGCCGCTGGTTTCGACCTCAGGCGCACAGCTAGCCGATGGCGTAGCCGCCGTTACCGCGTGGCTCCGCGGCCACCGGCGCGTCGTCCCTGGGTTGCTCCCAGCGGTGGAGGCAGCCCTGCGGGTTTGGCCTGCTTGTTCTATGCCAGATTGGGGAGCGGTGGCGAGGACGGAGGCCGCGTTGCCACGAGCGATGGCCACGGACAGCCGCTGTCGCAGCCACTCCGTCTCGCGACGCTCACCCGTGCAGGTTGCCAGGCGTCTCCCCAGGTCCTGGACGAAAGCGGCGGCGGCCGGACCATAGACACCGGTTGTCTCCAGTGCCACCGGAACAAAGCTATACCTCCTGGCTAGGTCCGCATAACGCTGCCGCTTTCGCTCTTCGGCTTGCCTTGCAGCTGCACCCGGTTTCAGTGCGGACTCCACCGCTATGTGGTCGGCGAAAGTGTCGACGCAGGTCGCGTCCCACGTCAGACACTTGCCCTCGCGGAAGGGGAAGACGGTGATGCCATCCGGTCGTCTGCCGTCGCCCCGGTCGAGGCCGACTGGCTCCAGAATGGCGGGAAAGCCAGCGCCGGAGAGAGCGCGACGCACCACGTCGTTCAAGTGGGCATGACGCGAGTGGCGACCCGCACTTTTCTGGCAGGAGAGGCCATGATGTCCCAGCGGGGTGACGGGGCGCGCACACAGACGGCACCGATGCGGCTCGCAAACCGGGGCGCCGAGTCTCAGGGCCACAGCGACGCGGACGGTTTCGTCGTCAAGGTGAAGCCCGAGACTCGGCACCGGCACCGCCTGGATCCAGGCCGCTGTGTGCGGCTGGCCGGCGGCGATGAGCCGAGCTCGGTCGATCTGGTTGGCTGGTACCAGTAGGCGACTTTGGACCACCGTACAGGCGACGGTGTCCCACGCGCGCTGACTACTGACCAGCTCACCGTCCGGCAGCTGCTGTCGGTCCACCCCTGTGCGATGAAGGAACGCGCTGACTGCGGTCTCCAAGGTG